TTTTCTGCTAACTTCAGAGTTCTCCCAATACCAGTATTCAAACAAGCATCTTTATCCACCTTAGCCCATAAACAGATTGCCTTCAGTGGGACAATAAATACATGGAGTGATTTCTTTGAAGCTCTACGCAGTTTATCTAAGACTTACTACATGCCTACTGATTATATACCAAAAAGATTTCAATTACTTTCTTCCTTCATCTTTCTACACATCAATACTCAATCCTGGATCAGAAAGTGCAACCCTGTATAAGTGAGTCCTAGCTAGTTCTGAGACAGAGTTTATGGAATCAAGATAGCAAATGTTCTTAATAGTTTCCTTCCAGCTTATTAAGCACTGTAGGAGCACAAAATCTAACTATTGAACATCCACAGGCTAAGAAGGAAAACTTTATGAATGGTATTTTTTTTAAAACCTAGATGCACATAGTTATATTTATAATTGCTACAAAAAAATTTCCTTAAAAGATGCCATATAGTTTAAAAAAAACTATATCATTAAAAATGTAGTAAAAAGCTTTGTAATAATACTGATGTACCTGTGCTTTCTGAAGGCCATTACTGCACCACTCAAAGTGTTCTCCTTTTGCTCGTCTTCGAGGCCAACAGTACAATTAAGTAATGATAACTTTTTCAGCACTATAACATCAGAGTCAAGATAAATACCACCATACCTGCAATACACAAAGGTTGAATTAGAGAAACTTTACACTAATAGAAAATTGTCAGTGTATTATGTAAAAGCAATCACAAAGATAAATTTCCTGTTCCATTTTGCAGAGGTCAAACTTTCTGCCACTTTGATTGTACGCTCACTGATGCTTTAGCACAGTTAATTTTCCAAAAAAGATTAAAATTTCATAGTTTAGAATATAGTCAGTGTATCAGATTAACTTCACTGGATGTTTCTCTTTCTGAATTTCCTTAAATTCAGACCAAACTTTCTTACCTGTAACACTTGTCATGAGTTATTCTCCAATCAATTCTTGTTTTTTAAAAAATTTGGTTCCAGAATAAGTATTTCAAATGATTCATACTGCTTTGGCCTTGAAAAGATTCTGCTACTAAATTTTGCTTACTTGTACAGAGCAGCAAGCCTGATGAGTTCACTGTAATGTATAGGATAATATTTTGTCTTCTTCCATTCATACCAGACAGAGGCAAATATATGTGTTGGTGTATCTTGAAGTAGCTCATCAAGATTTGGCATGACGACAGCCACCTTGAAACTGCAAAGCAGGGGATAGCAAAGTTGTCAAGCAAATTTTGTTTTCACCTCAAATGGTACAAGGCATATGACAAATGTGCACCAAAACAAAATCTTTGAAAACCAAGAGCAATCATGACGCAACAAAATATGCTTTATAGAGTCATATAATCAAGTGTGTTCTCTAAAAACTACAAAGAACATAAAAAAAAAAGGACAAAACATGGTTAACCAGAGCTGCAAAAGAAAGAGGCCTGTCAAAAACCAAGCAAATGAACTGATTCTTCCAATTAGAGAACAAAAGCAACATCCTCATCCCACTAAAGGAAAAAGAGAAAACAAAAAAGACTTACCCATCCTCCACAAAGCTATTGAAGAAATTCAACTCAAGCGTCTCAGAAAACACTACCACGCATGCATCTGGATGATGATACAAAACGCTCTCAAGCCCCCTCTGGTAACGTACACTAAACATCCAAGGGGGAGAATTCCATACCATAAAAACTCTCAAATTACACTTCCCTTTCCTAAAAAAGGCATCCATAAAATTATTAAACGACAATCTAGAATCCAACCCCGGATAGTACCCCCATCTTCTTCCATCCGCAAACACCAGCCCTGAAAACTCATTTTTCACATTCTTTCCCTCCCTCTCCTCACCGTTCCCATTCAAATCCTTCCTATTATCAACTTTTTTCACAATGTAACCATGATTACCGCTACCATTATTCTTAATCTCGTTCTTCCGTGTATAACTACTCTGACTATTAGCATTATCCAAAGTTTTTCGCTTGTTCATCTTGATTTTCTTCATTTCATCTTTCTGTACCTCAACATTCTCGTCTTTCTCAACGGTCTGCTTGTTCTCAAATGCCAATGGCTTCTTAACCAAAAATGGCACTTTTTTGAACTCATTCAACATACCCTTCTGTACAAGCTTATCCCCTCTAGTTAACACTGTTACCCCTGGCATATCCGGGTCCTGCAAAATCGGATTATTCATCGGATTTACGGCCTCCAAATTTGACTTAAACATCCGATCCCTCCTCAAGAAATCACTCTTTTTATCAAACCATTCACCCCACCCTTCCCTCAACTTTGAGCCCTTCAACAATAATGCATCCTCAATTCCCTTAACCTCAGTTAACTTTTTCCTCGTTTTTTCATCAACAGGAATATCATCCGATCCAAATGCAGTCTTAGATCCCCGATTACTAAACCCTAATTCTAACCCCAGCTTAGATTCAAAACTAACATAATCTTCCCATTCCTCAATTGATTTCTTATTAAACCCTCTCCTAACGACGCCGTTCTGATGATCAAAATAGTAAAGCGAAGATGAAGAAGAAGAAGAAGAAGAAGACTTAGACTTATCATTTTGACCTGAAACGACGTCGTCGTCCTCGTCCTCCACATCTTCTTCCGATTCTCCACCTAAGAGGAAATCATCACCATTACTGTTGCTATATTTGGTGTTCAAAACGGCGTCATCCTGCTCGTCGATGAGGTCGTCAGAATTCGAGGCATGATCAAGAGAGTCGGTGGAATCTTCGACGAGGGGGTTGTCGGTTAGCGAGACGCCGTCGTACTGGGAATAGGAGTGCTGGTGTGGACCAGTGGAGTGGGACTGGAAGAAGTTGATCCGACTGTAGAGGAGAGTGACGGAGAGGAGGAGAAGGACGGCTGCTAATAAGGCACAAATGTGGGCACCGTAGCGGTGGCGCCGCCGTTGGCGGAGCATGTGACTCTGCTGGTGGCGGCAGTGGTGATGAAATGGAATGTTGAATTTCAGTTATAAGTAACGGTTCAAAAAACTGCTAAAAAAGCAACTGAGCACTGAAAATTATAAGTGTTTAATTTGTCTTGAATATTGTCAAAAAATAAAAAATAATTCAAATTGCAAAAGAGAGAAAGAGCTAATAATTAAAAAAAGTATGAAAGTCAATATAGAAGTTACTATGATGGTTTAATTTTTTTCTAAATATTGTCAAAAAATAAAAATAATTCAAATTGCAAACGAGACAAAGAATTAATAATTAAAACAGTGTGAAAGTCAATATAGAAGTTACTATGAATTTACGGTTTAATTTTGTTACATTATATTGTTGTGAGAAGTATTTCATGACGATAGAAATTAAGACTTCGTTTGAATTAACTGTTTTGAAGGTGTTTTTGAAATATTTTGCTGGAATAATATAATTGAAAAACTTTTATTATAGATGTTTTTAATGGGGTTTTTGAGGTGTGTTTGAAAATATAATTTGAGATATTTTTAAAATTAAAAATTTTAATGTGATATTTTTAAAATTTTATAAAATCTTACAACTATCCATCACTACCCACCATCCCTTCTCTCCTCCCTCCTCCCCACCCTCTCCCACCACCCCCCCCCCCTCCAGTCCTCTCTAATCGTGAGTCGCAACCAGAAGATGGATGCCGCCCGCGACCAAATTTGGTCTCGATGGGAGAGGGGGAGGGGACAGCGAGAAACACATGGAGAGGAAGGAGGAGGGGAGGGGAGGAGGAGGGAAGAGAAGGGTGGAGGAAGAAGGTGGAGGAAGAAAGAGAGGAAAAAGGGAAGGAGATGAAGGAGGATGAGGAAGAAGGAGAGGGAGGAGAGAGGGGGAAGGGGCGGCGGGTAGTGGTGTGCTTTTGGTGGTTGGTGATGGTGGTGGTGGTAATGTATTTTTTTTTTTTGTATATTTGAAATTGTTTTTGATATATTGTATAGATGTATTGCTTTTAGATTGTTTTTATTTATGTATTATTGTAACATTATATATGAAAAATTTGTTTTTGAAAAAATGAGGAATCCAAAAAATTTTAAAAATGACATCATAAATAACAAAAAAAACTTGTGTCCCATTTTACACGGGGTAGAAAACAAAGGCAAAATAGTGTGTTACTTTTCAAATTTTCTCAATTTTTTTCCAATTTTGTAGAAAAATAGTAATGTTTCCTTTTATCATGGTAGCAAAAGTATACACATAGTGGGAATACTCTGACAGTCTAACTACATGACTACCTCTACGAACACCAACTCTAATCTCAGTATTAAAACGGAAAAAAAAAAAACTCTAGTAAAATATACAACGAAAGAAAGAAATTTTCCTCTGTGTATATTTCTTAAATTTTGAACTTTCTTTATTACCCGTACTACAAAAGATAAATTGGTACAATCTTCTTAACCAAAAAAAATAAAAAATAAAAAATAAAAAAAAGAAACCCAATTCTTTTTTATTGATAAAGAAACCCGTAGCCACTATCTGAGAGTGCACACTGAGTAAATCCTGCCTGTGCAATAACCCGTCAACTACACAGAAGGTAACCGAATCCAACTTTATACTGGTAATAGATAAATTGGTACAATCTTCTTAACCCAAAGGTAATGCTCCTAGACAAAATGGGTAATGGTAGAAGGATAAGTTTTGTAGTGATGACAGCCAATAAAGATGGTGATTGAGAAGGCATTGGTGATGGTGGTCGGTGCGTGGGTGGCTGCGAGCGGCAAAGTGACAAAAGGCAAAAAGAAGGCTAAGTCTGATCATACGTTAGATGATGTATCCAATAGGTTGAAACACTAATTATCTAATCCTAAACTTTGTAAAATAACAATAACAATAGGTTGGCAAACGTTCGTTTAAGTTTGCAAAAAACAAGGTTTGTGATCGTTCTATAGCTTATCGAGACAAATTATTTGTTTAAACTTGACTCGTGTAAAATCTTGAATGAGTTTGAGTCGAGCTATCGAATCGCTCTAGTTATACTTATAAAATAAAATTCTTACGTAGATCTGTTTTTGAAGATCAACATGTATTAAATGCTTCTACTTTTTCAGAATTTACAAATAGAAATGCAAAATTGCAAATAAAATGATCGCCTTAAACACATTATTATCTACAAGACCTGTTATCTACTAACTAGTATTTGTTAGTGCAAATAATCTAAATCTGTCATTCCTTCATCAGCCGGTCAGTCTACTTTCGCAGCATCTCCTCCTGGCACTGCTTGATCATATATATCATGAGATAAGCTGTATGAAATGAACAAGGGTGCTCATTTTCAAACTGAAAAGTACCTCGCATGAGGTTTCTTTTTGCAGATTGATCGAATGGCTCGGCAACATGGTAGCATCTAAGGCCCCTTGAAGCAGCAGCAGCAGCATCAATTCTTGAAACTAGCCGGGGGACAACTATTGAACCAAGGGATTTTGAAGTTGGCTCAATCATATGATGTTCATTGCCCATAGGAAGACTACAAATCGTGCCACTCCCACCGCATTGACAATATCTCTTCTCCGCAGTTGATAGCATGTTTGAGAGAATTGAGGTACTACAAGCCTGCTAGGATTGCAAGTTTTTGAAGTTTGCATAAAATTTTATACTATAGTAATGTGATGTATGTGAGGTAAAAAATAATTAAAAAATATGTATAAGAAAATCTTTCTACGAAAACACGTGATTAAAAAATACTGTTTGAGGGAAAACTCGGAATCCAAGCAAGACCCAGAGAAAAATGTTAAGGCTCCAAGAAATAGACATCCACTTTTATTAGATAAGATTCCTTGAGAGACAATCATATTATTCATATGGTTTTAGAAGGCCAAGAAAAGATACCTTGTAGGTAAATTGCATGTGGGAAAACACCACATATGATGGCAGATAAAAGTGCCCAAACCCTTTTCTCCCCTTGATTTCTTTTATGATTACAAGTAACTTAAGAGTGGTGGAATGAAAGTATTCATTTTACAATTCTAACAACCTTACAACTCGACAGACAATATAGTAACAAGCTCAGAATATATACTTATGATCTCGTGATGGAACAATAATGCTATTTCAAATTAGCCCATTATGCTTCTGATCATGTAATAACATGTTTCAATAACAAATCTAGCATCAAGAAGAAGAGCAGATCCAACATGAGAGAAAAGAGCCCCTCTGGATAGCCAAGGGGACTGCCTAACAAAAACACCCAAAAAAAAAAAAAGTCCCACACGTACACCAAGCTAATAATTGTTAGACTTAGAACCCCTATATTCCATGCACAATCTTTGAAAAGATTCCTAATAATCTAAACATAACATGTGATATACTACTACTTTTTTCATGATGTGACGCATGCATGGAATAATTTCTCAAAAAGATGGTCAAAAATAATAAGTAATTTGTAGCCACATTAGTATTTCTATCACCTCATTTAAGATTGAAAAGGAGAGAGATTAACCACTTGACCTATAGGATACTATGACGTTGAAAAATTTCCATATCTTTTTAACTACTTATCATATCTTTTTAAAAATTCCATAAATATTTTTTAAAAGATGAATAGAGAGGGGAGGCAACTCTATCTTGACACTGAAAAATAAGTTTAATAATAAAGCAAAGGACTTTTTTTGACCTTTTTTTTTTTTGATAAACGAAAGGTTTTAAATATAATATCTCTTACTTATAATCTTTCTCACCTTATCATCCATCCCAACCCAACTCTACCTGGATGATTAAACAAAGGACTAAAAACCCTTTTGTCAGGGAAAAAAAAAACAAAAGAAGGACTAGAAACCCTTTGGTGAGCCTGCAGGCAAGTCATCCTTGGCTACCAGACAAGACTCTTTATCTTCATGTAAGACCTCTTTCTTGTAAAATGAATTCTACAATTTAAACTTAGGTCTTTACATGCCTACATTGAGCTATCCGGACACCTACATATATATAGCCGCGGAGTCTTCTAGCTACATATTGATTAGATTCTAGGCATAATTTCAGAAACCTCCCTTGAGGTTTCTTACTATTTCACTTAATTTCCTTGATGTTTTAAAAATTATACTTATCTCCCTTGATTTGATACTTTGGTAACCAAACTTTAAAATAGAGTAAAATTTAATGAATATCCTAAAATGCCCTTATCTTACAAAGTTCAATTTGTTCGTCTAAACAAAAAGAGTATCAAGTTTTTCATGCTAATATTTGTTATTTAATAATCAACTATAACAATAAATCTTTTACTATAATAGGGTATTTTTCATAGTACTTTATTGGGAATATAAATTCTTTTTAAGATAGAGAAGACAGTGCTATTTTGTTTCTTTTAAAGTTTATAATAAAAATTTAGGGACTAGTTTAGTGGTGGAACTATCATAATAATGATTTTGGGCCATTTGTTTTTAATCATTGTTGACTTATCCTTGATTTTGATACCCAAAAAAAAGAGCTACAAAAAAAATTGGAGGATATTAAAAGTTATAAAAAAAATATATTACTAGTTTAACGTTTAATTTTGATCGATATTAGGGACAATATTGATAGTTCTTCTATATTCCTAATGAAATACTATAAGAGAAATAAATAAGAAGGAAAATGGTAAAAAAAATTATAAAATCCATCCTTTGCATAATCATGGCAACAAGAGAGTTTTATTAAAAATATTAAGATTGGTATTGCCATTTTAAATGGACAAAGGAGGTACGTGTAATTTTTTAAATTTCAGGGGAGCTCAGTGAAATTTTTCAGAAACCTGAGGAGTGGTTTCGGAAATTATCCCTAGATTCTATAGCCATTTTTGAAAATGCACCTCCATCAAGATCCATGCACAAAACTCATATGCAAGGTGCTTGTCAAGGAACTTATTCCGCCCACTTTCTAGCCTGACCAAGGGACATACCAAGTCAATTTGGAGCGTCTCCTGGACCTAAAGATGATGATGTGTATGCAAGAAATCCATGTCAAGAAAACGGAAAGTAAATTTGCATGCTTGCGTATCGATCTTTAGTTGATATTCAATCTGTTTGGTAGGGCAATTCGACACGGGTATCAATCCCATTTGGCCCCTTGTATCGCCGAAAGGGTACTTTTCATCTTTTCTGCAAAATGATGCAACGTTCTGGCTTGTCATTTTCCAGGAGAAATTTAACTATGATTGATCAGAAACACCAAAGTTAAGAATGGTATCACTCAAGATCCAATAATTTTCTGCACTCTGAGTTTGAATACTTGAATAAGACTGCAATTTTTTTGCCATTAGCTACAACAAGAAAAGCAGAAGTTCAAATGTGAAAGATATTCACTTGTTATCTTTTTTTTTTTTCTTGTCAATACAGGGAGTATCTCAACTTTTTGCTGAACTAATCTTCCTACGCCTGTGCACCTAATCCCCCAAGGATACACAAGTGGTAGAGAGAGGACTCGAACACGCGACCTCGAGACCTAACTAGGTTATTCCGAGACCATCCGAGCCAACTCCAAGAGACTATGTATTCACGTGTTATCATCTTAGTGAATTTTTACTTCACAAATGTTAATTGTTATCAACAATTTTTTTTTTCTTTCTTGAATCCCACCCCAAATCTGTCCCGAATGCAAGTCATTTGAACTTTGCATAAATCACTAAAGTGCTGCACATGGTTTTGCTGGATAGCTGCAAATCAAACTATGTGTCTAGAAAATCAAGTTAATTTGTGGCATGCTCCTTTTGGTACAGGAAACTTTGACCTCACTCTCAAATGTAGGAGAATAACGCTATCCCTAAAGAATTTCGTGGCACTCCTATGTATCTTCCTCGGTGGGATTGCCTTTGTGTGTGCGCCACCTCTCCCTTCATTGCCTTTTTATTTCGTCCCTTTAAAATGTCAATATTCCATTCCATCGACAATTGAAACACATCCCAATCCCACGTCCACTCACAAAAATCAAGTTGTCCACAGCACCAGGCAGACCATGCCAAATGGTGCTTGATTGGCTCTACGGATGCACTTCTGTCACTCGACAATTGGCCCAATTGTTGCCAAGTTCGGCTCTGACTAGCGTCTGCCTTTTCTTGGACCAAGGGCACAAATAATTGCCAATAAAACAACGATGTAACATTTTTTGAATAAGGCATAACTCTACGTGAATTATTTGTAAAATTTAATAACAGAGAACAATTATTATATATGGAATCCGTATGAACAGTAACAAAATATCACATCTTTATTATAAAAATACACAAGAAATTTATATACAGTTACGAGACGTTTAAAAAATGTTATATTGTTCAGGCGACGCGGTTGGATATTGAAAGTTGTTTAGTTGGTAGGGGAGTTCAACAAATATGAAACAAGAAGAAAGCAATCAAAATGGCTAACCCCAGCAAGCCTTGCCAAGTGCTGCTTGATTGGCTCTTCGGATGCACTTCTGGCAATCAACAATTGGCCTAAAAGTTGCCAAGATTTGCTTCGAATTGCGTCTGCTTTTCAACTCAACTCTTGAAGGCAAATTAAAGTTGTTGATTTGTTATAGGAGTCCAACAAATAAGAAAGCAATCAAAATGGCTAAAGTCCACTTGGCAGCCAATCCTGCAAGGACCAAGCATAACCGACGGGAATTTTGTCCACTTGTGAATGGAATTTTGTACCCCAAAGCGATCGTCCAAAGGTTGATCCCTTCTCCCATCTTCATGAAAATCGCATAATTTTTGCTACTTGCACTATTAGTTCTACGTACGGTGCTTAGAAATATCGGCTGAAAAACAGAAAGCCATACGTGATACATAAGCTGGCATTATTGCTAGCAAATAAATATCAATGTTTTAAAACTCGGATCATTAATTAAACCGATAAAGTGTTCGGATCAAGGTTCAACCGGTCGGATTGGTTCAACTCTAGTTCAATGAATTTTTTAAAAAATAATTTATATATATATATCTATATGCACAAAATAAGACATGCAATGGACTAATTTAAAACTTTATATGATGAAAAGTTTAATATTTTGAACAACTTGGATTTTCAAAAATAAATTTTTTAAAGTATAAGTTGAAACAAATAAATTTCATTTCAATCTCAATTATATCTATCAAAAAATAATCTTAAATCCAACCTAAAAATACCACAATATTTTGAAATTATACAAAATTCACGTCTATAGGAATTTAGATATTGTGATTTTAAATTTTAATTTACGTTTTTGGGATTTAGAGATTGCAATTAAAAAAAAAAGAAGTTTAGAGTTTGAAGGAAGTCAGGAGAATCGAAAATAGAAATATAAACTTGATAAGAAACAAAAAATGAGATAAAAGTAAGTGGTTGTGGCATTTAATAATTAGTCTTTAGAATTAAAGAAAAATAATTCTTTTTTAATTTTTTTCAATTTAATAGACTAAAACAAAATTAAAAGATGGAAGAAAATATCAATAAATTAAAACTAAAGGGTTTTGATTAAAAAGGGAGTGACAAAAGAAAAGAAGAGAGAGAGTGAGAGAGAGAGTTGAAGATTAAAAACAAAGAATCATAAGAGAATGAGATTTTGTAGGGAAAATGGAGAAAAGAAATATGGATGTTTGTTTTATATAAATGAATTATGAAAAAAGTTAATAGGATGTGATGATACAATGGTTACTACATTAGTTTTCTATCACAAAGGTCTTGAGTTCAAATCTTGGTGGGTTGCATTTTGCAAAACTTAAAAAAATATTGAGGGGAAAGTTGAAAAATCGAAAACCACCGGTTCGACCCCGGTTCACCAATTTTGACTGATTTTCTTATAAAATCAACTTTGGTATAGAATCGGATCGGTGTCATGGTCGGTTCGTGATTCAACCGATCGAAGCGTCGGTCCGGTCCGATTTTTAAAACATTGATAAATATAAGTTTCAATCCAATTTATTTGTTATGAACGAAACTATTGAAGTCCCAATTTATTTGTCAAATTCAAGTTGGAGTAAATATAAAATGCATTTGTAGCACATTGAAGTTATACCCTCAAATCTTATGTTTAATTCAGCACTTCATAGCTTGATTCTTCATTCTTTAGTTTTAGTGACTCCTTCACTTTTCTATTTTCTCAAATTATCATAATCACATAATGTGTTGATAGAGAGAAATATATTGATGGGTAATGTGTAAATATTCATTTAAGCAATCTATAGTATCGAAAGCATGCCTTAACCTATAGTAATGATCAGAACGAAATCAGCTAAACTTGTTAACGTGAATATCATACAATTCAATGTATGAATTGGATGATCATAGGTTTGGAATCAAAAACAATTCTACCACCAGTGCAGTGTACCTAAAAGGTTCGTAGGCTTGCAATTCTTCATTAGTTAATAATGCTACACAAGAAATGCATGTGATTAAGAAAATTTTTGGGAAATTAAGCACCATCTATTTAGCATCTTCTCTATCACTTTTTTGTTTGCCTATATCTGATTCCTGAAATGTTAACATATCAATGATCCTAAAAAAGAAAAGTTCACTTTTATCACTACGAGCATCATGCGCCATCTTCTAATTTCAACACCGTTCTCTTTGTTCTTTGGTATTTTTGGCATTAAAAGGCAAAAGATTATGCAACAGAATCACATTCGTTTTTTAGCAATATTAGGGGCCGATTTGTACCGTTGACTAAATAAATGGGGGTTAATGTAATGGAATAAGAAGAACTACACATGTAACATCACTTTAGTATAATATTATGCTTTCCTCCTCCCTTTCTTGGGCAATTGTAGAAAGGAACAATAGAATCTAATGCTTTTTTGCTTCGAGGATTTAAAGGAATTTTTAAGGCTTCTAAACTTGTAAGCCATGTCCAAGGTACATTTTCACGTTCATCTAATATACAATTTAATCTTCTCCCTCTAACTCCTGGCAAATGAATCATCAATAGAAACAAAGGGAAACAAAAAAAAAAGAAAAAAGAAATA